TGTGTTTGTCCCGGTCCCTACATCACTCTGGGTTGTGGACCCTGTGACACAGGTTGCTGTGCTAGCTGCTGGGGCTGTGTACCCTGCGGCTGTACAGACTGCGAGACAGCAGGCTGCGTGGTAACCGCAACCTGAAACGGAGATTGGGTGAACAGTCTGTACCGGAACCTGCAAACTAGATCCTGCTGTGATCCCTCCTGATAGCGGCATGCCCAGGGAAACGATCGCAACGGATGATGGGGCTACATATGGGGATACCCCAGTCACAGGTGGGACAAAAGGAGGAGGCTGTACAACGGGCCAGGCACCAGGCCCGGACATTGGCGATGTGGATGTGCTGAAGGATGGTTGTCTGATGGTCCTGCATCTTAACTACATTCAGCAGGACGGACCGTACGATCCTCACCTCATCAGTCAAGTGCGTCAGGTCCATCTCCTCTAACTCACTAACGTCCGCTTGTCTCCGTTGCATCCTGGCTCTTCTTCTAATCATTCTTTCTTTCTCCGCTTTTATATCTCCTAACGCCTTCTGTAGTTGTGCCTCCTGCAATGCTGCTTGTTGTATGGCGATCTCGTCGGATGTCAACACTAATGGCTGGCTCGCCATTACGCCAGCGGACTGACTCTGGGTCTGCGCGACCGTTGACCCGACAGACCCTGAACTACCGGCCTGAGTAGTCTGCTGCGCAGAAGTGGCCATGGCTTCCGAAGCTGCAGCCTCACTCACAAGTGCCCTGCTAGCCTCTGCTGCTCTAGCCCTCCTCTGCTGCTGCTGCCTCTCCCTAAGCTGGCGGAACAGATATCTGTCGCCCTCTGGTCCTAATGCCAAGTGGGCAATTGGGCGTCTAGCCGATTGCAAAATCCTTCGGTCGTCCTCTCCAGTGTCCTCCTCGTCGCTCATAAGCTACAGCCCTGTACACAATCTGCACTAATGCACTCTGGGTTCCTACTGCAGTGTCGTGCACAGACCAATTGGTGGCTATTTCAGAAACTTTACATTCGGGCTCAACAGGTAAGTTAGATTCCTACAAATAAAACTATTTTTAGTTTGACCAGTCCGCAAACAGAAGCACCATGAACAAGAAACAGTTCTAACTAATGCTGTCTGTCAGATGTCAATGGCTGTACACCTAACTAATGAAAAGGTAAAATAGAATCATTTGGATGGATAGGACAGCATGGAATTTTCTCGAACTTATCATCTGAAATCTACCCCTCCCTTAGTTCCCCTGATTATCACTTGACATCAGCGTGTCTAAAAGGTGTGTGTTCGGCCCACCCCTGTGCCCCGAGTATCTGCTGAGCTGGCCAGCCCTGCACTGGATTATCCTCGCGTGCAGCGAGCCTTACAACCATTGGCTGATCCAGAGGCAATTTAACGTCCGCCCCCAAGTGACTCCAGGAATTATTTTACGTCGCAGCCGGACGACGATCACAGCCAATGGTTCCCCTTCCGGTGCTTATTTAAAGACGCCCGGTCTCTCGTCTCCCTCTTAGGGCTGGCCTGCCCTTCAACACCCATCTAACAGCTCAGCAAGCCAAACAAAGGACAAGCAGGAAAGCATGCGTGCTCTACTCCCGGTGGGTTGGCATGGTGACCGTGACCCAGTGCTTCGTCCAGGGCCCTTCAGAAAGCTCCGCCCATCTTCTCCCAGATGCTCCACGTGAACATTGCCGACTCTCAAGGTTGAGTGCACTCGACACCTCACAATGAGAGGACTCTCACGAAGGAACACACAACCTCACGGTAAGAAGTGTCGAAGAGGGTAGATAAGGTTAAGAGCAATGTACCTCAAATAGCTGCCCCCAACCACACAGAGATAATCTCACCAGATGGCCAGATGCCGATTGTGATGACCAGTCATTGCTTCGACACAACCAGCATTGCACGCCGTTCCACCTCAGCACCAATCGCACATTAGATAGTTCTCATCACACTGTCCAACACCCACATCACGTAACCTGTGTTCGGCCCAGTACCCGTATCCAGCCCAGGGCCTGCTTTCCATACATTCACACAGACGGCCCAGGGCTTGGGTTCTCTCAACCAACTGGCGCCGCACAACTGCCTGAATTTCCTTGAGTTGCGTGGTGACCAAAGCAGGGCCCTGAGGGCCGCGTCGAGCATGCCTTCACTTAGGGCGGCCGACTTGCTTCAGAATGGGGCCATAAGGGGGCACATAGAGGCATTGGCCTCGCAAATACAAACGCAATTTAAATCAAATACAAATGCAATTTAAATTTAAATAAAATAGAAACCAAAAAAAAGACAATATCTATATTATTTCAATTTATTTGTATATATCGTCACATATGTTATATGTATATATCTATATATATTATTTCTATTATCTATATATCTTATTTATCTATTATCTAAATGAAATAATGATTCAATAATAAATATATATTCATTTCTAGAAAATAGGGATGAACGAAATGGAATTCTTTTCTCGCACCTTTTCATACTGCTAGGGATGAAAGAAAGATAGGGTCCTTCACATGTTTTCTGATTGTTGTTTTTTTGTTGTTTTGGCGTCTTCGAGAATGATTCACCAATTCACATGTCTACTG